GTACTATTGTGATACCAACCGTAGTACCACTATGATACCTACGTTGTGTGTGTATGTATGTATGTATGTATGTATGTATGTATGTATGTATGTATGTATGTATGTATGTATGTATGTATGTATGTATGTATGTATGTATGTATGTATGTATGTATGTATGTATGTATGTATGTGGGGAGTCATTTAAGGGAGAACTTAATATTACCGTGATACACACCATGAGCAATGTAATACCCAAAATAAAGTAATTAATCTAATTAAAGTAAATTGAAATATTAAACTAATTAAAATAAATTGAATACTCAACACAATTTACTAATTTACCCTTTTACTTATTATAAGAAATCTTAATAATTATCCTAAATGATTGGTTTATGTTGGTTCTCATGGTTACCACAAACTAAACAGTTCTCATTTGATTAGGCCCACATACAGGGGCTTATTCAAGGGAGAACTGACTAGTTTTGTGGTAACCGTGAGATCCAATCTCAACCACAAATCAATAGATAAATTAGGAAATTTATAATTTTGGTAAGTTTGAATTAAAATTTTAATGCAAGAACATTCTAGGTATTTTCTCTCCTCTCTTCTCTCTTCGTCCCCCATCCTCCGTCCTCCTTCCTCCACCACCGTCATCTGATGATACCTAAAAATATTGACTCTGTTTAACAAAAGACAAGGTATGATACCCAAGCACATATAAGATGCATTGTGATACCACAATGTTGCATCTCCGATCGACTACACAAACGACCTCAGTGTGATACCCAAGCACATAGAAGATGCATTGTAATACCACTGTGGTATCACCGGAGGACGGTGGCCGAAGGCCGGAGGACGGAGGATGGGGGGAGAGAGAAGAGAGGAGAGAGGAGAGGGGAGAGTTTTAAAATATATAAAATGTCATTGCATTAAAATTTTAATTCAAAATTATAAATTTCCTAATTTATTTATTGATTTGTGGTTGAGATTGGATCTCATGGTTATCACAAACTAGTCAGTTCTCTTTTGAATGAACCTTATATATATATATATATATATATATACACACACACACACACACATATACATACATAGAGGAGCGTTCAAATAAAAACATTTCACATTTGTGTAAACCGTGTAAACCAATCTCATCCATCCATATTCTTGATCAATGGCCAAGATTAGTTTACTTTATTTTAAGAAATTAAAAATATATATATATTAAAAATTTATTTTATTTCAACAATAAGGACAAAAATGGTAAACAAAATTTAACATTTGCTAACATCCTTCTCGATATTAATGACACTATTTTCATTTTTTAAAGCAATATATTATTTTTAACTTTAAATCACATCCATCAATAAAACATATAAAAAAAATGAATATAACACACCATATTCAATTATATGGAGTGAATCGTTTTAAAATTTAAATTACATTATATTAATGAAATTGGTTTCAAAATTTAATCAACAGACTAATCCACGTAATACTGATCATATTTTGTAATTTTCATTATACTGGTAGATGGATCCGTTACACTTAGATAATGAAATTTTTTCATCGATTACTGACTTCATAAAAGTTTATAATACAACATGAAATTGTTTCACTTATGCAACCATTTCACTTATCAGGCTCAATACTGCCATGAACCAGTTTCACTTTCATGAAAACTATTTCATGTACAGTAATTTTCTTATTTCACCACCGATTTGATGGAATCATTCTTTTAGTCCTTACAATCTTGAAGATTCTGGAGCAGGTTACAATCTTCAAGATTATGTAGCAGATTAAAATCATTTCCCCATTTCATCATGCACTTCATTCATGACGAGCGAAATACAAAATGGCTCAACTACACCATCAATGCAACAGGTTCACCATGAAAATGTTTCGGTTCACATAATTTATTTGCAACAAGACCCGGTTTCACGTTCATGAAACCTGTTTCATTTTCCTTTTCATAATTTATTTTCAAAATGCATCGGTTTCATTTTCCTTTTCACCAACAAAATGGATCAACTACACCATCAATGCAACGGTTTCACCATAAAAATGTTTTGGTTCACCTAATTTATTTGCAACATGAACCGGTTTCACGTTCATGAAACATGTTTCATTTTTTTTTTTCATATTTTTTTTCAAAATGCACCGGTTTCATTTTGATTCTCATAAAAAAAGGATTAACTACACCATCAATGCAACGGGTTCACCATAAAAATGTTTCGGTTCACCTAATTTCTTTGCAACATGAACCAGTTTCACGTTCATGAAACCTGTTTCATTTTGTGGATTTTTTTTTTGTTCATCTACGTTTTGATGATTTAATTATATAATTCAATTGTTTCACCAATACACGTTTCCTGATTATAACTCATGACAATATATGAAATCCAAATTTTTAATATTTTAATATAATTAAATATTTAAATATTACCATTTATACAATTTTCTTTATTACGTTTCCTTAATTAAGATTTATTAATAATTTTCATATTTAATAGAAAATATTGTAAATGACCGAAATACCCTTATTGATTGAATTTAATTAGAAAGAAAAAAAGAATTTTCCTATTGGTCGAAATTGGTTTACACGGTTTCTTAGAAATACACGATTTTCATTTGAATATGCCCCTACATATATATATATATATATATATATATATATACACACACACACATGCATACATACATATACATACATATATACATGTACGTACACACACACACACACACACACACACATATATATATATATATATATAGGGTTGGGTTCACGTGAGACTAGCCTGTTTTCGTGAGACCCGTGAGACCACATTTTTACACGTAACCTTCACAGCAAAAACACTGTGAAAGTTTAAAAAAAGTCGAACCTTCACAGCAAAAACACTGTGAAGGTTTTAAAAAGTCACATTCACAGCATTTTGCTGTGAAGTTTCAAGTGT